CATCATCATCATCATCCTCAGACCTGTAGAGTAACTGTAGAGACTCTCAGTCCAGCTCCTCTGAATCTTCCCATTCTGTAGTAAGGTCCAGTCAGTTATCCCAGGCAAAAATAAGTTCCCATCCACTGAACTAAAGAAAATGATATTATATATCTATAGACTCCAACTGGTGCAATGCTTATGGTCTTGGGGCACCAGGTACAGTATAAATGTAGATCCCATAGCATGACCATGTCCACAGAGAGGTGATGCAGCAACTCTGAACAACCACTGCGTAACATCTAGACCAACAATGGGCAGATCGAAGCAGCCATTAATGCACCCCCAAACCCCGCAGAAAATAGAGACAAAGCAGGCAGCGCAACTGGACTCCCCATTGCTTAGCACCCTGATCCATTCCAGGGTTTACCAGCAGCAGGGGTTACCTGAACAAAACTGCAAACATTTCAAAATAAGACTCTGCAGGCTTGTCGGGGATACTGTACTCAAGGTACCATGCATGACATCTATAGCACTTGTGCCGATTTCCACAAGAGCCCTGCAGCTCCAAAACCTGGGCTGAAAATACTGTGCAACAGAAGACTGGCATCAGTTCCATGTAAAACCGCAGCTAGAGCTCGCATTCCAGCTTAAAACACCTTTGCACTTTACTTTCAAAAGACCCAAGAACAACCAGCTGCACTGAGAGATCAAACATTACTTTTTTTAATACGTGTCAACAGTGATGAACAATATACACATATCTTACACCTGCCTTCCACCTCTGCTCCCCTCTGGCACAAACGGATTCAGTTATCTACTGACTGATCGATTGAAAAAGCTTTACAATTGTTATTTCTTAAAAAACAGGAGCAATAGTCTAGAACCCAACAAAATGAAATAAAAAAAAAGTTTAAAAACAAATGCCCCCCCCCCAATATAACGTCTGCAGCCAAACAAATAACATGGAAAACTGCTCCCCCATCTTAGTCATCACTGTTCTTCACAACCACTGGTAAAGAAGTGATTCCCAAATAAGCCTACGCCCCAAGCCTCAGGATCTGTCACTCCCCCAATAACAAGAACCTTGATCTGAATCTTGGGTTAAAGTCCAGAATTCTGGTCCTAACCATGCTGGTACACCACAGTCACGCTGTGTGTGTAACTGGCACAGGACTGGTCTGTGCCCAACATCCAGCAGAGGTTTGCAATGTAAAATCTAGGGCACCTAGGGTCCCCAAAAGACAAGAGGTTAACACTCTGGTCTACAAGTTTGAGCTCCAGCTGTCCAGTGTATCAGGGTTGAGGACTGGGGGTACAGAGGATGTGTACGGACGCCCTGTCAGAGCCTTATTGCATACATACAGCCCTGCCACATTAAAATAAGCACGCCAGCGCCCCCCAAAAGCATACAGTGGACTCGCCCCGTTTTCTCTGTTGGACACCCTGCAGCCCTGTGGTATAGCACCAGCACAAGCCGTGCCCAGTGAGCGTCTGCGTCAGGCCCCAGCAGGGCCATGCCTGTGCCCCCTCCAGTTTTGTGCCTGCCAAGTCCCCCCGTGTCTTCACGCGCGCCTTGTCTCAACAGGGCAGGGCTCAGTCTATACACAGATATTTACACATCTCAAATAAAAAAAAAAAACTACAAATGAACTGAGATGGACATTTCATTCCCCCCCACCACAGGATCAGGCCATAGGATTCTCCTCTTCCTCTTCGTCTTCCTCCAAATCCTCTTCTTCCCCCAGCCTCATGCCTTCCCCTGCCTCCTCCTCTTCCTCCTCCTCCTCTTCTCCTCCCAACCCTACATCTCCCTGCTGCTCTTCGGTGGCCGAGCTGTCCATCGGAGCTTCGCTTGTGGGCTCAATCCCAGCGGTCTCTGCCTCTGCCTCTGCCTCCCGCACTCCCTCCCCCTCGCCCTCGCCCACTCCTGCTGCTTCGCCCCCAACCTCTCCCTCCCCCTCCACCTCCCCGTGCCCCTCTTCCTCTGCCCCCGCCCCTTCTCCTCCTCCTTCCCCGGGCGTCTCCCCGGCAGCGCCCTCCGCAGGCGCGGCGCCCTCATCCACGTCCACCTCGTGGTCCGCAGCCTCGTCCGTGAACGGGTCCTCTCCCTGGGCAGGGGCGGCAGAGAGGAGAGAGCAGGGATGAGAACGACAGGCAGGAAGGAGGACACATCTAGACCCCCGAGAGCGAGGGGTGGCGAGCCCTGAAGATCCAGGTGGATTCACCCCTCCCCCCACACGTGAACATGCTGCCGTGGGAAATCATGAACTTTGGGTAAACACTCCAAGTCACCATGTTGATGCAACCTGCATTCACACTCCCAAGAATTGAGACACGATGCGGCCCTTCCTGCTCACTAGTCTCCCTAATGAGTAACGTGATGGGATGTATGAGCGAACAAAAACAGGCTGTGCAGAAGACATTTCACCGCAGAAATGCTCCAACGTGATCTGCACGGATAGTTAATAAGTAGTTTTTGTCAGCAAAACCGTGTTGAAGTCGAGAGCAGTATTTCTATCGGATTAAAACCAATGGATTCACAAACCCCGTTCTTTGCTATGTAATAAGGCCATTTCACGTCACCAGAAGTTTTGTTGCCTTGTTCCAAAACGCATTACATGGCACTACGCCTACCTGGACACTTCATCTATTTTGTGATGTAAACTGGAAATTTTACAAGCTTATGTCTACATTTTATTGTTTTTGCGGTTTGAAATGCACTCATCGGTGCCGATACTTTCTAACCCTGAAATCTGAAAATAGCGCGGCCGTTCCCCTGTGAAGGCCGAACCACTGCAGCATCGCCGGCGCCAGCTCACCTTTAAATAGTTGTCCAGCATCCGCCTGATGTTCTTGTTGTACAGGATGCTCTTCGCGATCGGCAGGCTGGACCTCTTGAACTGATCAAAGAGTCCCTGCAACACAGAGAGATCTCTGGGTCAAGGAACCCCGGACTCGCCTGGCCCTGACCGGACAGGATAACGAAGAGGAGGTGCTGGGGCGCTAATCACAGATCCCCAGGCTCAGAAACGTATCCCCTAGTGGCAGGTGTCCTGAATAACCAACACCTACATGACTACAATCCATCACCACTGACTGCTCATTGTTGCAGGTGTAGTGGAGCTAGTGCGGACACGGTGATGTCATCGCCCTCCCTGTGCGTAGCAGGGACCTCAGCTGCCTGGGCTGAGGGAGGTCTCCTTTAGCTCATGCAGCTGGTTCCCTGTTACGTTACGCCGGAGACCCGGGTTCGCGCCCCAGTGTTCGTTGCAGGGTGGAGAGGCAGAGGGCACGAGCCTGCGCGGAACCGCGACGGTCACGTTGTAAACTGCACACTGGAGTTTACTGCTGTATACTGCAAAAAATGTGCATTGTTTTCTACACCGTACGTTGTATTGCATACTGGCGCTACTCATCTACTTTATTGCTGACTGTTGTCTACTCCTGTCTGTACACCGGGAGACCCAGTGAGAGGAACCGTTCCGACGTCCGCGTTACACGAGGCGGTCCCGCTGGGACCCGGGGCCGTACCTTGCGGTTCATCGTGTGCTCCTGCGACTTCAGGTGGCGCTGCAGCAGGCTGTGCTGCGCCGGGATGATCATGTCGCAGGCCATGCAGTGCGCCGCCTCGATCTTCTTGCAGAACTGCTCCTCCACCAGGCCTGCCAGGGAGCGACAGGTTCAACAGTGACTGGCTGCCCTGGGTGTGTGTGACTCACTGAGCGGGTCGGGAATGGTGACCCGAGCGGAGCCAGAAGGAGAGATGAGAGAGAGAGGGGGGGGGGCAGGGAGATGAGGAGAGAGGGAAAGAGTGAGGAGAGCAGGAGGGAGAGAATGAAAGGTAAGAGAGAGGGAGGGGGAAAGTGAGCGAAGGTAGGAGGAGGGAGAGAATGAAAGTTCGGAGAATGAAAGGGTGATGAGAGGGAGAATGAAAGAGTGATGAGGAGAAAGGGAGAGAGTGATCAGGAGAGGGAGATAAGAGCGATGAGGGGAGAGGGAGAG